GAATGATGTACAAACCCTTTGATAAATGTCATAGCCATGGATGATGTTATGGGCTGACTTGTGTCCCCCCAAATTCATAGGTTGAAGCCCTACCCCCTCAGAACCTCAAAATGTGACTGCATTTGGAGACAGGGTCTTTATAGGGTTAATTAATGTTAGATGAGGTCATAGGATTGGGCCCTAATCCAGCAGGACTACTGTCCTTATAAGAAGAGGGGATCAGGACACAGACACACACAGAGGAAAGACCACGTGAGGACCCAGGGAGAAGATGGCATCTGCAGGCCAAGGAGCGAAGCAAGCCCTGCTGACATCTCCATCTTGGACTTCCAGCCCCCAGAACTGTGAGACACAAATGATGGTTAGCCCCCCAGCCTGTGGTAGTTTGTGATGGGCACCCTAGCAGACTAACACAGAGGCAGTGGGGAGAGGGTTATTATCGGCCTAGAGGCAGTGCTGGGATTCAAAGAGAAGGCCAACACCCACTTGTGCCAATGAAACTTAGGGCATGAGATAAGGCAGGAGAAGGGGGATGTATATCCCAGGGAGAGCAAGGAGTTCAAGGAAAGAGGTAGGAGAGGAGAGGTCTGTGTTATGGGGAGACAGCCCACAGCACAGGGGATTAGGTGATGGGAGGCAGCTGGGGGGAGGCAACACAGAAACTGGGTGAAGTGGGCAAAGATGGGATGGTTGTTCAGGTTGGGCACAGGCAGCAGGGGTGGGAGAATAAGTGCCCCATCCCGTATCCAGGATGCAGAAATGTGATGTCACAGAAGCACTGGGTGGAGGTAGAACAGAGTCATGTTAGAGGCAGAAGGAATTGACATGGGAGTTTGGCAAGATCTTACAACTGATGGAGGAAGTGGAGTTCAGAGAATACACACACACACACAACACACACCTTGTTTTGTCTGAGGAGAACTCAGGGATTCTGGAACAAGAGGAATCTCAGGTCTTGTGTCACAGTGACCCCCTACCAGGGAGTCCAGAGCATGTCTAGCCTGAATAAGAAGGGGTGGAATTCTTTGGGGTGCTTGGATGGGACTGGACACTTAAGGCCTATTATGGTAAAGTCTGTACCCCCAGCTGCCTTGTTTCTGACTTGTTTTTCTGTTTCTGCCAAATTATAAAGCATAGACTCTCTCCTGCTCTAATTCTGAAGCTTAGCTTTTTGAGGGCTGATCTTGCCCAGTGGTTTGCTTCGGCAGAGGAAGGATTGTGGGAGCTTTGTGTAAAATCTCCCAGAAGTGTAGTTGAAGGTCAGTAACTGATTTGTGCAGGGTTTGGAAATGGGGGTGGGCAGTCTTGACTCGTGGATGGTTAAAAAAGCATGAGAGTGAGTGTATATGTGTCTTGGGGAATGTGTCCAGCATGAGCCAGGATGGTGCCCTGCAGTACAGCTAGGCCCTATGCTAGGGGTACAATGCATGGTGTCATCATGTAAGTAATGCCCTTACAAAACAGATGGCAATGTATTGATGGCTTAACATAAATAGACATGGCCAGTAACACGAGAATGCAAGCTGTATAGGAGGAAGGACCATTTCTATTGTATTTCCCAGTGCCTAGATAACAGTGCCTAACACATACTGGTGTTGAGTAAGTACCTGCAGAATGAATGAGTCAATCATGGGGTTCAAATGCATGGAGTTCAAAAACTTAGGTACTTCACTCCCATCCTCTAGTTTCTTTTGTCCAAAAAACAAACAAAACTGAAGAAAGGACACCTAGAGAAAAATCACATAAGGTGGGCAGAATGGCGAGAGTATGCTCAGCATCACTCAGAATCGAAGGAATATGATTAACATGATAATCATATGCTGTTTTAAAATGAGCTTACATGTTATTTTGAAATTAGCAAAGATTTTTAAATGCTACTATTGAATGCTGGCATGAATGCAGTGAGATATTCACTTATATTTCAGGTGGGAATGAAGGTGGGTATAACTTTTATAAAAAAGTCCATGTCTATTCAAAGTTGTAAAGGGTAAAAATATTGTAAAAATTATAAAAACATTCATATGAGTTGATGCAGTTCTGATTATAATTATATGGCTAAATCTTGGACAAAGTTTAATTCATTATATGGAGTTCCCCACTCCAGGAGGACATTTGCAAGGAAATGGCATTGTATTTTTTAAGGAAAAAATATTGGTAGTAGAAATAGTGAGATAGGAAGACAGAAATAGAAATGAGCAATTGAGAAAATGTTCCTGACCACATAACAAGATTGTGTGTGTGTGTGTGTGTGTGTGTGTGTGTGTGTGTTTTGATGTAGAATAAAACAGCCAAAGGTCCCCATGAGACCAATTATCAATTAAGCACTAATGTGCCCAGAGCTGAGACCAAATTATTCCCTACTATATTTTATAGTATTTTACCAACTTGCTTTTGTATGACTGAAGTTTATGACATTAGATTGTTTAACTTTAAAAACACTCTAGTAAGCATTTAGCTAACACTTAAAAAAATTAACACATTAATAATTTATATTCAGTATAATATATTACAGGGCTTCAGTTACATTGTAATCTTTTGACTAAGGTACTTTAATAATCCTGTGGCTTTGGATGAATGCCTAGTGACACGGTATTTGCATTATTGCGTTTGTTATTTTAACACTCACAACCTATGTTTTATTGTATAGCAGTTTCAAAAAATAGTATATAGTGCATATAACAGTGATATGGGAATCTTTCTCAATTCAGAAACAGGGCTAAATGTAAAATGCAAATCCGGATGATCTTAATAACTATGATTATTATGTGTGTATATCTAAGACTTGTGGAATTCATTTGTTTTCAGATTTTATTTGATGGGCAAGTAGGAATGCTTTGGAGCTAAGCCGTCGTTAATAAACCCCTGAGTTGCAAATGTCACACACCTGTCAGCCATGAATGGCCCTTTCTTTTTTGAGCTGCTGTGATGTTAACTCTGCCTTATTTCCCTCCTAGCGAGGCTTCTCTTTCCAGGGTAGTCTCTGGCGATTAGTCATTTCAGCAGGACTTCCTCATCAACATCTGTTCCAAAAGCCAGTTATGTGTGAGAGAATGTGGCACTTTGAAATTTGCACAGGGTTATTATGCAGATGGCGGCAGGGAGGTCTTGGCTCCCCCACATAGGTGACAAACGCCACCTCCACCCACCACACATGTTCCTCCTCAAGCCTACGTTTGTTCGGTTTTTGGAAGCTTCCAGTATGAGCCTTCCAAGGGAGCTCACCTTCCTCATCTGCAATACCTTGTGACACATGGGTCAATATGAGACATATTCCCTGTCCTCAAGGAGGTCACCATCTGGGACACATGTCCCAGAACCACCTTGCCTCTGCTCTGTTCTTTTACCCAATGCAAACTGGCTTCTCTTCCCTTGGGAGGTTCCCCCTGACCCAGCAGTTGAAGCTTGGTGGCCTCCTTTTGGGCTGGTCCTGTTGGGTTCGTGTGAATAGGGGTCAAAACATTCCTCTCATCTTTATTCTCCTTTCAGTGACCAGGAGTCCTTCTTAAACCCAAGTGTGGCTTTAATACTCCTTGGCTCCAGAGCCTTCCCATGATTCTCTGTTGCTTATGGTATATTATCAATTTTATTTTTTGCATGGCACCCCCTTCCCTTCCTTCTGCTGGCTTCACTAACTCCGTGTGTGCTTGCTGTCCTTGAAATGATAGAATTTTAGGCCCAGGGCCTTACCCAATTGGTACATTTGGTCCATAAGGTCCTATCTCCCAATCACCCTCCCTTTTCATCCCTCTCCCCGAATGCTGCCACAAACATCTATTCATTCATCAAAATCCAATTGAAAACTCATACTCTGGCAGCTTCCCTGACCCCCATACAAAGTGAAGTTTTTGTGCCTAATATCCAATTATTCTAACTGTGCTGTACTGCTGATAATGCATTATGGTTATTTGCATATTGCCTTATCTTTTTCACTGAATTATGGGACTAATTAATTCATTCAGCCTACTCCTTTTTTTGCCCAGCATTTAATAGATGCTTAATAAAAGTTTGTTAAATATAAATGAATCACTTAACTCCTCCACTTCCTCCAATTGAGTACAAGCTTTGGGGGCAGCCATTCTGTTTTTCCTCTTTGTTTATTCCATTGAACTTAGTTTGGTATCTGCCACATAGCAAATGCTCAATGAATGTTGAAAGTGGTAATATGTATCTATGTATCTGTATATGAAAGCCTGAATAAAGCCACATACAAAATTTGCCTGGTAGCATTCCAAGTTAGGGGGGAAGATGGGAGAAAGATGGTAACATTGCCCAGTTTTTGGATGAGAAGCCTGAACAACAGGGAAGGTATATGGTGGGTACAACTCTGACTTCCTAGTGTACTACTTGCTTTGCTTCTCTGGATGCTTCTGAAAGTCTCATCTAAGGCAATGTCAAAGAATCGGGTAGACATCACAACCTTGAAGAAGTCTTAGGGTCTTGGGAAAGAGCTGAGGTCTTGTCTGCTGAGCACATCCACTATGTGAATGAACCCCCACACACCCCATGTCCCCTCCCACGGGAGATCAGGGGCTCTTTCTAGTTGCACAATTCTGTTTTTCTTCCACTGGAGATCCAAGGGGACTCAGGGTTTAGCCCAGCTTTCCCATCAAGACTGTGGGCACTTATATGACAAACATTAAATCTCTATTAAAAAGCATTGGTTCAGAGTGTCTGGGTGGTTCAGTCGCTTAAGCGTCCAACTCTTGATTTGGGCTCAGGTCATGATCTCACGGCTTGTGGGTTCGAGGCTCACGTTGGGCTCTGAGCTGGCAGTGTGGACAGAGCCTGCTTTGGAGTCTCTCTTCTTCTCTGTCTGCCCCTCCTCTGCGTGTACTCCCTCTCAAAATAAATAAACATGAAAAAAAAAAGCATTGGTTCATAATTTTGAATTTGTTTTTCTTTTTCTTTTTTTGGAACCAGATTCATTCACCCAGCCACATTTAACAGCTTCTGGGGCTGTGTGTCAGACATTCTGCTAGTTGCTGGCATAGAGTGATGGAGAAAGTAAACACAGTGCCTGGTCTCAGGGGCTCCCAGACCAGCAGAGCAGGCTGACAGATACACATTTGCTCACACCTGACTACTACGCAGGGGCAACATGCAGAGGCCCATGAAGGAGGCGTTGGGCTGGAGCTAGGGCTCCGGGTGTGACTTGGCCCCTGCCTTTTGTCCGGACTGGATGACTCAGGGCAGCCAGGCCGGAGAGGCAGAAGGAAGCAAGGAGACTGATGGAGGAAATGCTTCAGAGAAGAGGAAATATGCAGAATGTCCCTTTCTCATCCCACGTGGCTCAGGTAGCTTTCTCTCCTATTATTCTAAGCTCTGCCTTGCTCATTCTGTTCCCCTTCCCTGCAGAGTTTAACCCTGTCTCTATTTTCTGTACTCTCACACAGGCACAGAAACGTGCATGTGAACACACACACACACACACCCCCCACTATGGCCTCTGCTCCAGCTTTCGGAACGTCTGTTTCAGGGAGGGAGTGGGCTCACTTGCCTTTCTGATCTCAACTGTTGCTTTCACGGCAGCTGGCCTGCCTAGTGACGTTCTGTTCCTATTGAGACAGTAGAAACCAAATAAATAGAGGCAAGCAAAACATGGAGTTCAAGGAAACAGAAGGAAGGGAGAGAGCTAAGCTGTTTTGCCCTTGTAGATAGGAAACCAAGTGCTTTGCTAACCATTACCTGGGGTAGGGCTGGTTGGGGGGGTGGGGTGGGGTGGGGATCTGCCCTGCCTGATGGTTACATTCTATTTTCAAACCGAACAAGTTGGTATAAAAAATGAAACTCTCATAAAAGTTAAAATGGCAAATGTCGATTTCCTTGTTTTCCGGATTTCACAACTCAGGCAGAAGAGGAGTTAAATTGTAGTAGTGCAAGGAAATAGCAGAGCAAAAGTCACTGTGCTGTTTCTTGGAACAATTTCTGCCCAACCAGTTATCATTTCTCAAGCCCTCTGAAAGCGTGCCAAAAGCTGTCTGCATAAGTAGCGACAGGCTGAGCAGCCAGCACTGGGTGTTCTAGTCTTTGGGCGTAATGCTCAGCAGCTTTTACAGTTATCTCTTTAATTGGCCTCTGATTTGCTTTTATTTTAAGCAGTGCCTTTTGGTGGAAAGTGCACTGAACTAGGAGTCAGAATATCTGGGGTCTAGTTTTACCAGGCCATAGCAAACGACTGCCTTTGAGAAGCATCGTAGTTTTTACCCATGAGAGGAGAAGCAATTAAAGCAGAGGTCTTTAAGGCTTCTTCTTACCTCCAAGAGCCTTTGTTCTAGGTCAGGGGTTGGCAAACGATAGCCCCACTGCCTGTTTGTGTTCTGTCCATAGGCTAAGAGTGTTCTTCCATTTTTAATGGTTGAATGAAATCAAAAGAAGAATAATATTTTGTGATCTATCAAGATGATCTGACTTCTTTATTTTATTTTATTTTTTTTAATTAAAAAAAATTTTTTTTCAACATTTTTATTTATTTTTGGGACAGAGAGAGACAGAGCATGAACGGGGGAGGGGCAGAGAGAGAGGGAGACACAGAATCGGAAACAGGCTCCAGGCTCCGAGCCATCAGCCCAGAGCCTGACACGGGGCTCGAACTCACGGACCGCGAGATCGTGACCTGGCTGAAGTCGGACGCTTAACCGACTGCGTCACCCAGGTGCCCCAAGATGATCTGACTTCTAATTCAATGTCCATAAATAAAGTCTTATTGGCAATGGGCCTCTTGTCTATTGTCTATGGCGGCTTTTTTATTGCAGTGGTAGAGCTGAGTGGTTGCAGAGACCGCATGGCCTAAGATGTTTGCTATCTGGTCCTTTACAGAAAAAGTTTGCTGATACCTGTTGACCACAGTGAAACATATATTCTTACTTTCTGCATTCGTGAAAACGATATACCTCAGTGAGTTACTGTAAGAAGCAAATGAGCTAGGGGCACCTGGGTGGCTCAGTTGGTTAAGCATCCGATTTCGACTCAGGTCATTATCTCACAGCTCATGAGTTCAAGCCCCACATCGGGCTCTGTGCTGACAGCTCAGAGCCTGGAGCCTGCTTCAGATTCTCTGTCTCTGTATCTCGCTGCCCCGCCCCGGCTCGTGCTCTGTCTCTCTCTCTCTCAAAAATACATAAACATTAAAAAAATAAAAGGAAGTAAATGAGCTAATGATGTGTATTGAAAAAGGATGTCATGTACATAAATACCTCAGCACCTGCGGGTTTCTGGATGGAGAAGGAAGAAACCCTCATTAGTAGTTTGTACAAAAACAAGCTATATTTCTCATTCAGCAGGGTTGAAAATGTATAGGATTGCAGTTGTGTGAAATTATGTGTACATCTGTAAGGGAAAATAACAAGAACTTACTTGCTAGGTTGGTATGATTCTAGACGAAGGGGTGTGTGTGTGTGTGTGTGTGTGTGCCTCAATTATTTAAACTACTGCTAAAACTGTTTTCAAATAAATATGAAAAGGGGGAAAGTATCCAGTCACCTTTACTTTGATATTAATGTTGAAAAAAAAGGTTTTTTTTTTTTTAAATTTCCAGGTGAATGTTGAGCTTTAATGGAAGAGATTTAGTTATCTGTGTGTTCCATACTAAGTTGTCTGTAGGCGGCTCTTTCCTAAACAATTGAAAGATATGAAGAGTTAAATATTGGAAACAATATATTTTTTATTTTTATATGATTTTTTAAAGTTGATTTATTTTGAGAGAGAGAGAGAGAGAGAGAGAGAGAGAGCAGCATGAGCAAGGGAGGGGCAGAGAGAGGACAGAGAGAATCCAAAGCAGGCTCTGCACTGTCAGCACACAGAACCTAACATGGGGGCTTGATCTAACGATCCGTGAGACCATGACCTGAGCCAAAATCAGGAATCTGACACTTAACAAACTGACCCACCGAGGCTACCCAATATTATATGATTTTAGAAAAATTACAACAGCCATGATTTATGGGTTTTGTTATAATACTATTAGAATAACCCCTCACCTGTTAAATAGGTCATCTTTTACTTAAGTGTTTAGCAAGAAAAACAAAGTTCTACTTGTTTAAAATTTAACTAACTCAGAAAGCTGAGAGGAAAACTGAACATTTTCAATGGAGATTGGGTCAGTTTCAGGTTTGGCAAAATACACAAAGATCAAAGTCTTTCATGAGAGGTTCAGAGCTGGAGTGTGCCAAAGAATAACCTAGAGATAGTAGAACTTGGATTTCACATCCTATTTTCTAATAGTCACTGTCTAGGGAGCTTCCAGATCCACTCGGTTAATTTCATTTGTCATTGGTATATAAATAGCGATGTCCTTTTTCCACGAAAGTGACCAGCAGTTTGGTTGAACTGTTGGAGTTCTCTGTGGACACAGCCTTACAGTGAGCTGTGTGCAAGCTTCACACAGAAAGTGGGATTGCCCCTCTCTCTTTCCTGAGGTGCAGAATGAAATTTCAGGAGGCTGGGGCACCCAATTCCCTAGGCTGGCAATGCAGCTTCTCTTGGTAGTAGCAGTGGGACCTTGGGCAAGCCACCTAATCCCGCTGAACCATGACTTCTTCATCTTATTTTTAAAATTTTCATTTTAAGTGTATTTGTTTATTTTGAGAGAGTGAGCAAGCAAGCAGGGGAGGGCAGAGAGTGAGAATCCCAAGCATGAGCCTGCCATGGGGCTTGAACTCATGAACCATGAGATCATGACCCCAGCTGAAACCAGGAATCCAAGGCTTAACCGACTGAACCACCCAGGTGCCCCCACTTCTTCATCTTAAAAGAGGATGATAATAGAACTCACGTCATAGATTGGTGAATACTAAGAAAATTTGTGGAAAAGGGCTAACATTCAATGAATGTTAGCCATCCTTATTATCATGGGTGGTCAGGGTAGCTAAAAAGCAAAAATGAATCAAATAGTTGCGGGGGGGAGGTTCAAGCAAATGCCTTTTCATTTTCTGCTAGCCCTGAGTCACGTGATAAATGTAGACTGTCCAGCTCACTGGTTTCTAAAGGATGGAAATGTCTGGCAGAATTTGTTATCAACTTTAAGTCTGTAGAATGCCTTAGGCAGAAGTTCTTTAGCTCTTGATGAGTGATTTTTTTTTTTTTTACATTAATATCCATCCAACAGAATGATGAAGTACATGCCGGCCATTGGATGTGTCAGGAATGGTCAATAAACAATGACAAAGGATCTTTCACATTCTCTCAATAAACACTGCTGCTCCTTCTCACCATCTTCCTTGATAAACACCAGCTGGAGTGAAGCTTTCACCCGAGAGGCAGCTCATTGCCATGATGGAGGATAAAGTCAGTGGCTTCCTGAATTTATCATTGCCCCTCTTTTTTTTTTTTTTTTAAAGGCATGGTAACTGGTGGGGGCTGCCTGGTTTTGGGCCCTGGATTCTAGTGGCTTCCTTCCTCACGTGGCAGACATCAAGTGTGATGACTTATTTATCTTTTTCTTTAACTCTGTCATCCCAGCTTCTTGCTGGGGTGGAGTGAGGAGGAAAGAGACTTCAGGGCAGTTGAGTGTGAGAGTGGCCAATAGGGGAGGGGAGAAAGAGGATTTGAAGAGTGTGTTGTACATAAGGAATGGGCATTCCCCTCTTTGCTGTTTTCACGAGAAACAACAGAAAGGAACTAAATGTATTTTTGGATGTTGAACTAGTGTTTAATTGAATGCTATACTGGACCAAGATGGGGCCACCACTCTCAGCTCCTAGCTTACTCCCTGTGCCTAGGACAGTGCCTGATGATGGTAAGCACTTAATACATATTCGTTGAATGAGATACCAGCATTCTGGTTCCAGGTATATATCTCATGAATCCAATGCCATAGATCTCCAAATGTATACATTAAAGATAAACATCCTCTAAATCTCCTTTTTATGGAAGGAGCCAGTTATTATAACTCTTCTTTTGACATTTCCCTGTCCTCCTCTAGAGGAAGACAGATGTGTGGTAATACCCCATGAACAAGCTACCATATAGAAGGGAAAGTGATCTAATATAGGGGAGAAATGGCCCCAGGTCACAATCATGAGTGGGTGAGGAAAAGAAGAGGCAGAGACACACAGAGGTTGGTCATGTGATTCTTGATATGAGCTTGGGCCTAGGGTTGAGGGACATCCTCTTATATTTTGTGCATGTAGGGCAGATGGAAGGGGGCTACTCTCTTACCCTGGACTTTTACTCCTGATTCTGACTCATTCAGTAGAGGAGAGGGGCAGGTGTATGTTTGTGTGTATATGTGTGTGTGTGTGTGTGTGTGTGTGCAGCCTTGAGCCCTATTTATAAGTTGAGCTTGAGGTCTGTACAT